AACGAGTTGCCAATATTTGCTAGTGCTAACCACCTGAAAAAGAGTGTTTTAATGTTAGCAATAACGTCAGCAAAAGATGTGTCACTCGCTGGTAAAGCATCATTAAAGCGTTGTCGATATCCTTCTTCAGTTAGTTGCTTGGATGCTAGCAACTTCTGACACACTGTAGCAAAAGAACTTCTTTCTTCTGTTGACAGGTTGCTAAACGTAACTAACTCTTTTCCAGTTAACAAATCCCGTAAGCGGGAGACCCATTGTGATTCAGGAATCCCTGCGCATCTATGAGCTTCTTCGAATCTTTCAAACTGTTATGTTGCTACAGGGAGGATGCATGCTCTCAAAATTCAAATGTTTATATCCTTGCTGGTGCTTAACCATAGACTTTAAAGGCTGTTTAATCTTTGCATTGCTATTGCCATCACCCTTTTAATTTATGTCAGTCTCCTTAGCTATTTATTACAGAGCCTAGATATTGAAATTTGTTAACATTTTCAATTTTTTCATCATTTATTGTTATTTTTGGGTGGAGCCAGTTTTAACTGTTGACATTATTTTCGTTTTCTTTAAATTCAAGAACATTTTTTAAATCTTCATTGTGAATATATAGTTTTGTAAATGTTAATTAAACGCTTTATTGTGTGTGTGTGTGTGTGTGTGTGTGTGTGTGTGTGTGTGTATATAAACTATGAGAATCCTTTTCTAAAGGCTCCGTCTTCTTGGCACCGAAACTCTCAAAAAAAAGGCTCCGTCTAAAGAAAAAGATAAAAAGTAAAGGATCCTTTTCCCCGCCTTTAGGCGTATAGGGTATATAGGGCTAGTGGGCACAAGATGGGTGATGTGGTCAACATCACGACGGCCGCTTCTACTTCCTGGGACTGCACCCGGTACCAACTCAAGGCTGGGTCGACCTGAGAGCCAAGGTCATTTTTTAAAAAGTCCGGCTCCCCCAAGGAGCGAACCCACTACTTTCCGATCCGCGGCGAGCGTCTAGCCGCTCTGCCACGGGAACTCTCTCCGTCTCCAAAGGATTATACATGAACTTCACGTTACAATCGCCGACTTTTTACTGTTGTCAACTGTCCTGTTAGTTTTGACTTTACACTACATGCCTTTTTCTTAAAAATAAATTTGCTCAACGTCCTTTTTTGTCTATACGCGGAAGCTAGTCACGTCTAATGTTCACTTTGGATTTCCATATCTGATACAAGGGGCTGAGAGGCCTCGAGGTATGGCGTTTGCCTCGAGTGCTGGAGGTCCCGGGTTCAAGCCCTGGGGAAGGCTGGGATTTTTCATTGTGACCTAGTAATTTCGCTGATCTCTGGGTAGTGAGATCGGACGCCCATGTGTATTGTTGCACACGTAAAATCCCTTTGCGGTTGGAAATCGAAAAGAGTAGCATCACGGCGCTGCCCGAGCAAAATCTAGTTTTTCAGGATCCTCGCCGGTGCCACGGAGTTCGTGCACTGCGCAGAGATTCTTTAGACTCAGGTTTGAGGGAGAAGACGGAGCATTTATGGGTTACACCCGTGCGCCATGATGTTGATCCGTTGAATAAACATATCTGATACATAGAAGCTGGAAGCCGGGGATAAGATAACTTGAGCTCCCTTTAACCAGGCAGAGAAGTTTGACAAATATGTTGGGCTTTCTTTATATTTCAGGTATGTTATTATAGAGATTTGTTATTCATGACCTTAATAATAATAACAACACCACTAATAATAATAATCATATTTTAATAAATGGGAATTTTTTTTTTAATAAACAAAAAAAAAAAAAAAACAAAAAAAAAAAATGTTAAAACAAATTATGTAAAAGATCGGTTCTAAAATTTTTTAAGTGGGCATCATAACCACCTACAATAGTTCTGAAAAGGTGATTAAATATTACAGAGATCTCCTCATTTACACAGAGTACGACCTTTCATTCGCACTTCCTCAGGCTCGTCTACGTCATGAAGGTTACGGGGGTGTCCCGGTGTACAGTTTGCTCGAAAAGCTTTCTGCGTTGTCCTACATCTAGGTTTTTATTCCGAGAAAGGGAATGCGTGTGATGTAGCTTGCAGAGCTCTCGTAGGGAAGTTTGTGTTAAGGCCAGTGCTGCATGTTTTTGGAGCGTTAAACGCGCTGACGTGCTGAAATATTTACACGCGATATCAGCGGTGTGTGTTGTGTATGTTGTGCCTGTATGTACGTGTTGTGACTGTGTGTACCTTTGTATGTGTCTATATGTGTTGTGTTTGTGTATATGAGCTCTATTTGAATATGCCATTCTATGGTGTGTGTTATGTATGTTTGTGTATGTTGTCAGTGTGTAAGTATGTCATGTGCGCATATGTGTGTGTGTGTGTGTGTGTGTGTGTGTGTGCTTGTGTGTTTCTGCGATGTGTGAGTATTTTGTGCAAGCATTTTTGAAGGTATGCATTTGTCATCCATGCTTTTGAATTTTCCATTTACATTCATACTACGAATTTTCATATGTGAACATAATATTCTTGATATATAAAATAAAATTGCTTTATGAATGCTTAGAAGGGCCGGATATAAAAAGGGTCTGAGAGCCCAATTTGTAACCTTTTTGAAATAAAGTATGTTCGTTCGTTTGTTCTCTCCGTCGCTTTCTGTCTTTATCTTGTGTTCCCTCTGTATCATTATCGTTCTTTCGCCCTCTCTCTTCCCCTCTCTTTATCTTGTCTCAATTGTGTTTAATCTCTTCAGGTCTTTCTCTCTTTTTCAAATGACACTTTTACTATAGTCAACTTATGTATGCTAACAAGGAAGGATACTCTACATGTGTTTATCTCCACAGCTCACAGTTTCTTACCCAGCAGTTCTGTAAAAAAAAAAAAAAACCTAAAGAAGCAGCAACCCTAAAATGGGAAGCGTTGATAGTAAACCAAACCAGGGCTGTATTCCAAGCGCTGCTATTGACTCAAAACAATCAAGTCAACACAGGCATACCAAAGTTAACGCGAAAGATTTGAAAAAAGGCGACCTAATCAAAGTCCTTCGTAGCTCATCTAGTTCGTTATCTGGCGTGTCTTCTATCCCATTGGGATTCTACCACTGGGCTGTATATGTTGGAGGTATATTTTTACTTGGTTTCTTAATTATGTTATTGTGGTTCTTATTTTCGGTTATGTCATTTATATTTGTTCAGTATGCCATTGCGATTGTCTTAATTATGTCATTATGATTTCTCCGTTATATTTGATTTAGGAGTTTGAGTGCAGTATTATGCTTCGCAAACCCAGGATCAAAATCAAATGCAAGATATTTGACAGCCGACGGTTTTGATTTCGTCAACCGTATGGGCATCTAATCGTTCATTTGGTTACTGGCAAAAATACTGAAATTTCCGCAAAGAAACAAAAGAAGAATTATTAATCCGTTCCCATAAAAATGATTGTATAAATAATTTACATATTGAATAATACATAAATACAAAAGCAATTCATCATCATCATCAACATCATCATGTGCCCTGCCAAATGGAGTAGGCGCTCATGGGTCTCCACAGATCACGATCACTGGTTGCCTGGAACAGCTCTCTTGATGAAATTCCTCCATGCCATCGTTTCGACCCACCAGCATCATCTCTCTTCGTCTGCCTTACTCCTTTTCCCACTGCAATTGGGTGCTATAATGCCTGAGAAGAGTCTGCTGACAGTAAGGATGGTGCTGACAATAGAGGAGGGGTCCATATTAGTGTTTTACAAGAGAGCCCCTTCCAGTAGAAATTCAGGAATTTTAAATACTGTTTTTTCCCTCTCTTCAGTCGTTTTTCCTTGCTTCAACCTGGCTGAAGTCCACCATGTTTGAAGTTAACTGAAATCCTGTCCAAGGAACTTTACTTCTGCATTCTCCTCAGGATGTTTTGGATATATGACATTGTCTGGTCACTCCAGACAAAGTTATTACAGCTGGTTTGAGCTTTGTTGGGTGGTACTTCTCTGTAAAGTCTTTGGCCGCTTCCATAGCTTTGATTTGCCCACGTGTCCTTTCCTGGCCTGTAGCTCCGTAAACCTCTTGGGAGAAGCTATCCAATTTCCAAAAATTCTTGCAGCTTTACAATAACTATCTTCTCCAAGACCTTCCCAAATGTGTTTTGTAAGGTGAGGATTCTAAAGCCACTGAGCTTTGAATGTTCCTTAAAAGGTTTTGGTAGTGGGATTAGATAGCTGTGCACACAGACCTGCGGTAATTTTGCTGTCTTAATGCTTTGGTTAAAACAGTCAGCCATCTCCACCAGGTCCACATCGCTCAGAGCCTTCATGTGGCTATACCTGACCCCATCAGGCCCTAGTGCAGTCTCCTTAGCTTTTTTTCAAAATGTGTTTGATATCTTCTACTCATATCATGTCTTCATAGTGCATATTTTTTTATGGTGCCAGCTAACTTCTCTCTAACTGCATCCCTGATGTCCACATCATTATGATCTGTCTGAGCTATAAACCCATGGAGAAAAGCCTCCCTTTTCTCCTTGATTGTTGTCATACGCACACCATCGTCTGTAAAAATTGTTTCCACTGTCCGATCTTTTCTTTGCATCTGCCTTTGCAGTTTCCAGAATTTCCCCAGTGTTTTATCACCTCAAATTTCATTCACACAAGTTTCCCACTTTGCTCTTTTGGTCTGTGCAGTACAGTGCTTGAAAACCTCCACCTTATCTTTTTCCACATTCTCCGCGATCTCTATTTCCTCTCGTGAGCTTGAGGGCGTCTGTCGTACTTTCTTTAGCTGCTTCACTGCGGCTCTCTTTGCCTTCCACTCCTGTTATAATTCTGGAGTCCACCATAGCTTTGTATCGAGGTAAACAAGAATAGCTTGCTATGTCGTGACACTATAAGTTCTGGCACACGAGTCGTGCGAAGAAGAAGAAAAAGAAGAAGTAGAAGAAAGAGAAAAAGAAAAAGACGAACAAGAAGAAGAAGAAGGTGGAGGAGGAGGAGGGGAAGAAGGAGGAGGTAGTTTTGATTGAATATGCCATTCCTGTTGCAGACAATCTTATCATTCAAGTGACTGTAGCTGATGAAAATGCCAAAATTTGCCAATGTCCGGACGCTAAAACATTTGTAGAAGGAAACACTCTACCCACTTGCCCCACATGCGGCAAGAATTACCCGGCAGTTGTTCGCTATGATGCTCTAGACAGTTGGTGCCACGGAGAAAGCTTCACAGTCTGCAACTGCCTGGACAACGACAACAATTACAGGTTTGTCTTTCTGGGTTTCTGCGAGATATTCAGTGTCATTCATATCGATTGTGTTCTGTTTACTGTGTATCCTTTCTAAAGATCCTTCACAACGGGAAATTATCCAAGCGTGCAGTGTAGAACTACAGCCTAACTATAAATTCACAACAATTCCAGGCATAAAAATAAAGGGTGAAGAATGTGACCTAGTACTGTATGCAAAGACCCTTGAACATGTCTACAACTGTTATCCAAAACCTGAACGGACATACGTATACCGTGATGGATCATTGAAAAAACAAAAACGGAGGAGCTAGATCGGTCATTATCCTGCAAGATGGGACCACAGTAGAAACATTAAGCGCCTCCGGAAGACTATCAATAAACTACAAAGCAGAACCGCAAGCAATCATTGATTCAGCCAAAGATGTTTTTGTGTGTGTTTACATGTCAGCGTGATCTATCTCGTCTTTAAACATGTTAGAAATACTGAGTATTAAGTTTATTAACTTCCGTGGAACCATTAAAAAGAACAACAAATAAGGTTGACCTCGCAACATTCACCACGTAGGAACATAACTTTAAAAAAAGTGGAGTCGAAGTTACTTTCAAACAAGATAATGCGCAAAATAAGGATATGAAAGAAACAATATGCCAGCCGACATTTATACATTAAAATAAATAAAACCTCTGTTTAAAACAAACAACATTTTAAACATAAAAGTCCCCTCCCCCACCCCTCTCCCACCCTAAGTCAAAAATATGACTATAAATAACATTATAGTACACCTTACAAATATATACCCTAATATCGTCAAACTTTTACTCATTTGTTTATTCCCATTTGTAATACATTTACTTCACTTTCATTCTTAATTAACTTAACAATCTTTGAAAAAGTCCTTGGAATCTACCGATGACTGGAAATTACAAAGCTGTTCAAAAGAAATTTGATGCAAATTGATCAGGGCAAATATGTTCAAAACTATACTTGTATAATCTGCATCTCTGGCTAAAGACAAAAGGCTGAATTCGATTCTGCAATTTTATAGTCTATTCAACAAATATGCAGTCGCGTTCGAAGAACATTTTCTGTGGCAGCAATGCCCAGCGAGCTATCCCGTTATTCTTGGGCATGCCCGATTTAAAGAATAGTCAAGGCTGATTGTCAAGTGTAATAGGAATGACCATCCAAGCAAACATTTTCGGGTTGCGTCAGATGTG